TGAACATAATTAATGTCCACAATGTAGAGAAGAATGTGGTTCATCCACATTCTCCTCCACATTCTAGCTAGCCAATGAGGAGGAGAGAGAATAATTCTTACTAATTCCAAACAATTTAATTATTTAATTAATTTTCTTATTATACATTATAAAATTATATATTTGGTAAGTAAATAGAATTGTGGTTAGACTACATTGTGCATTGGAGATAATTTTTAATTTCATAGTTGTAAACTTATCATTTTTCCTACATGGTTCACAATCCATTTAATTTATTGACATTTATAAAAAATTCGTCTACAATATCATTAGAGCATTGGAGATGCTCTAAGTAAATCATTATTTCATTAAGAATATATTATAGTTATATTATCAAATCATAAAAAGATATTAAATCTATATTGTAAAAGAAATCATATAATTTTATAAAAAATTTATTGCACTATTTAACATTACTTTTTTTTTATTATATAATATATAAAATAGTAGTTAAATATTATATGGTGAACAAAATAAGTAAAATTGTTACTTTCTCTTACATCAAGGGATAAATTTATATGTTAAAATTAAATTTTTATTAGTACAATATTTTAGTGAGATAATATATTAATTATTTTACAAGCTAGCCCTAACATGCTAATATTTAATGTTCTGGCTAAAAAACAACGTTGGCTAAAAGATGTGCAAAAGAGCTTATGACTCTATTTATTTTTGGCTTAATGTTGATTAAAAAAGGTAGAAAATAGATAACAACCCTATTACTTTTTAGACTTAAACTGAAAAGACTGTGAGATAACTCTTTTAATATATTTGTCCCGTGCATCGCACGAGATACATACTAGTTACCCCAAAATGAATTCAAAAGTACTTTGAAATTCGAATATAATGACTCAAAGGCTAGATTTTTCAAAAAGTATGAAAAAAATTACTAAGACTAGCAACTTTTAAATTTTTAGACGAGATTTTAGTTACTCTTTCAGTTAAATACAAACAATTTAATATATTAATAGATTTTATAATTAGTTTTGTTTGATAAAAA